CTTTGATATAAATGGCCCTGGGAGTAAGATTTTATGCTGAATATGTTTATTCTACGTTGTTCCAAACGACTTAAAATCAACATCGTTTCAATGTTAGATAGACAAACCAATTAGGTTGATTATATGTTGAAAATGTATGGATTCAATTCAACTCACGTTTATTGATATAGCACTTTCTTTTACAATATAGATTGTGTCAAAGCAGCTATATAGTTCTAGTAAAGTTCAGATTTCTTTAAAGTCCCAGATTCAATAACTTTGTTTCGATCAACTAAAAATCCACATTGCTACAACATTGGGTCAGTAACCAATCGCAACGATTTTAGGTTAGATTTAAATATAGTATCTGATGTTTTATCAACATTAACTTGATGAGCAAAAAAAACACTGAATAGAAATCAGAGATCAACATTGATTCGATGTCACAAAAAATCTTGATTTTAGGTTGAAATTATGTGATTTCGCTATATATCTGGATATATAAAATAAAGTGGAATGGCGTTACATCAGATAAACAACACAGTGAGAGAGGCAGACTCGGATGAAGCTAAAATACAGCTCATTAGTCAAAAATAAATACGTTTATCGGATGTATATGTGGTGGAGATTATTCAAGCCTTTCTGAAATGATGAGTCTCACACAAATGTTTTTTTTGTCATTATTAAGAAATATTTTAATATTTTGCAAAAAATGTTCTGTGGACATGTGCATTATTATAGAAACATGGCACCTGTCAATCAATTCGGTGGCCGGGGAAAACCACACACATACGTTTCTACGTCACGTTGTGGTGGGTCTCAAAATCACTGAGATTTGGGTCCTATTTTAACGTCAGGAAATAAAAAAAAAAGACTTGTTGGGTTTATATCACTCCAATATGACTGTAGACACACTATACTTAAAGATAGTTCTGTCCAAATAGCTTACAAAAGTTGATTTTCATCATACGTGCCCCTTAAGAGACTAAAATAGATGCTGAAAATTCAGCTTTGTCATCATAAGACTGATTTTTTAAAAATAAAATCAATTAACATACTATTTAAAAGTCATTTTAGGTGTCATTTAAGCATGCTTCACACATGCCAGTAAAAAATGAAGCACTAAAAAGATAATTCTACCAAAAAAGGGGCAAACTACATCATAAACAAAGATATGAGGCAAATGAATACAAAAGGCATTAGAAAAAAACAAGGGAGAAACAGATTACAGTGATATAAAAGACAGAATGCATAAACTTTTCAATAACAACCAGTAAACAAAAGAGATGGAATGAGTCATAGTGTAAACATCATGTTATTTATTTATATCCCACCACATTTTAGCCAGAAACTGATATAAATGGTCAACTATTCAACATGAACCAAACACATTCATTCAGCAAGCTGCTTATTTAACAATCTGGCAAACGAACATCAGTCTTATGTATGTAACTGGCCATTGACCCCTGCATACAATAATTAGAAATAATCACATATTTATCTCTTTGAAGCAATTACTGATATAACACTACAACATAAACAACTCTTCTGATTAGCTATCTCCCATTTTGGCATCACATTTCAGCATACAATCTCTTCATCTCACACACTGACATCTGATTGTTACTCCAGATTAACCGGGTCATGACCAGAAGCTTCTCCGAAATGCGATGACTTAAAACAAAAATCAATTAAGTGCACAACAATTATATTTGCTTCCTTCTGTTTGTGCCTCCGGCAATGAATGGAGAAAACGTGCCAATTTTTTATGCTTTCCATTATCAACCGCCGTCTACTTCATATCGCTTCCTCTTATTTACCTCTGATGTGCCTTTCCTGACATTCTCCTCAGTCTGAATGCGGTGGCGATTGGGATGGAATGCGTAAAGGCATCCTGTTTTTTTATTTTTTACGTGGACAAAGTTTGTTGCTGGCGGCACGCGTTAAGCTCAAGGGAGAGATGGACATTATAAAGTTAAAGCCATTGTTTTAAATCAGGCTATTGTTAAGAACATAAACCTCATGATCTTATTAAAGGGTAACACTTTACAATAACAGTACATGAATAATGATATATGTAATCTACTATTATGATGAGTTATGCATTAATACAGAACTAACTTGTGTTCTAACTAAGCTCATCTGTGAATAATGGGTACCTTAATTACTTGTTATTTGTGTTAATTGATTATTGTATTAATTAACATTTTAATTTCATAGTCATAACCTGTTAATGTATTTTTATGCCATCACTTTACTTGAAGGGGCCATTATTGTTAACTGATTCTTAACTACTCATAAACTTCTGTGTGTGTGTGTGTGTGTGTGTACATGTTTTTGCGACATATCAGGACACAAATCTGTATAATGACATAGGTATGTCACAGGTATTACAAAAAGGAGGTGAAATATGAGGAGATTGGTGACATCCTCATTTCTCAAAATGCTTATAAATCTGACAGAATGAGTTTAATCAAAGAGTAAAGCTGCACACAGTCTCCTGTGATGGTTGGGTTTAGGGGTGGGGTGGGGTGAGGGCAATACAATATATGGTTTGGACAGTATAAAATGAATGGAAACCTATGTAATGTCCCCACTTTTCACAAAAACAAACGTGTTTGTGTGTGTGTGTGTGTTTTTATTTCACAGATTATTTTTAGTGAGAAAATCAAAGTCACCATGTTAAAGGTTTTGCTCCAACAGAAGTGCTCAATACTGGCCCTTGATTGAATGAGTTTTTTTTTACCGAATGGATTAGCAACAACCAACCAACAGACACCAAATCAGTTAGATTAATGAATCAGAAATTGAGACTGCTGAATGGATCAACAAATCAACTGATTAATCGAAAAGATTCAACCTAAAATGATAGTTTACTCACAAATAGTGTAGATATAAAACATGGCAATCAGAGGTTAGGTGACCATCAAGTGGTTTCTCAGAGGATGACGAGCTGACAAAACATTGCTGCAACTCTGATACAAGTTTTATTTATGGAGAAATGTACAAAGCACTGCAGTGTTTGGGTGTTCTGTGTTTGTCTGGGATAATTAGTCTACCGAAATGTGAATATTCCATAAAAACTGAAGCAGATCGGTCAATTCTTGTCACCTGCGGTGCGCTCATGGAATTCATTTAATTGTGTGCATCTGGAAGGCGCGAGCACGTCACATCACTTTTGTTGTCAAGCCGGCCATTGGAATCGAACTTGTGCCGACTCTAGAAAAGAAGTGATATACGAATGGCCCCTCATAGGCCTCCGTCATTTGCAATCTCCATCAGTTGATCAGTTTGCACACATGCTGGATTCACCTGATTTGTTGACAAACATATTGCGGATCTATTCCTTGTCAGTTCGCGGGTCCTTTACTGGGCTTTTTCCCCTTAGCAAAGAAACGTTTGTGACGTCTGTTTCTTACTCATTTTTGCTGCTTGTGGGTTAAATTTGGGCGCTCAAGTGACCAGGATGTAACCAAGAGAACACAGTAGTTTTTCAAAATAAAAGATTTTCCAAAATAAAACATCATTCAGACTCAAATAATAAATAAAACGGAAATAATTAATGATTTCTTGTGCGGCCCGGTACCAATCAATCCACGGACCGGTACCATTCTGCCACCCGGTGGTTAAGGTCCACTGATTTAAAGGGAACCTATTATGACGAAATCCCTTTTTTATGGGGTTTAAACACAGGTGTGTTGCAACATCCAGCCAGTAACGGTAAATATGTATTAATTCTACTTTTATAATCATCATTCATAAAAACATCATGGAGAAACACTTTGATTGATATTTCCCCTTTGTACATGACAACAAAGAGGGAAAATCCCGCCCATTAGTGATGATCTCTCCCTCATTAGCATAAACAGCCCTAAGTGAGAAGCAGCCGTCTGCCATTAGAATTTTGAATCTGCTGCTACGCTTACACATAAGCATTTATAGTTCCACCCTCTTTTGAAAAGAGCACAATCTCATTTGAATTTAAAACGACAGTCACCAAAATGGCAAAATTTGGATAAAAGCCTGAAAGGAGCAGTTTTTTAGCTGAAACTTCACATACACCATCTAGGGACATCAGAGACTTATTTTACATTTGTAGAAAGGGGCATAACAGGTGTTCTTTAATGTTTAGCTGTCCCAAACATATTTTTAATTTAATAAAAAAAAACAAATAGACAGTTAGTCGTGAGTTAGACGACAGGTTTGTTTTATTTTTGTATGAAAAAATTCTTTGGTAAAAATATTTATTCAGTGTTGCTCAGTATTTATTCCTTAAAAGCAGTTTTATAAAGCTGTTCATACAAACACAAAAATGCAATTCCAAGATATAAGTTTTGTGCTCGTATAATTACAGCAGTTATTTTAATACCAGTCACTCTGGTCCATTTATGTGTTTGCTTTTCTCAGACATACCAATAATGTAAATGTGCAGACGTGTTGAGAAGCTTGAGGCAGTAAAGGTAGCATGAATGATATACAATAACTTTGCAATGTATGACATGCTAAAAATAGAAGTTTGTAGTGTCAAAAAAATAAAAAGAATAAATTCTCAGATTTTGGAAGATTTGTGCCTTATGTGCACTGTTGGCCTATTTAATCTATCAGGAAGATGGAAAACATCAAGACTGTTGTTCTCACATTTCTATTGTCTACAGTGTTTCTTTCCCATACGCCAGCAAGCTTCCTGCCTAATTCACCTGTTCCACAAGCCTCTATATCTTCACATCACAACAACATGTCAGTGTGTTCAAACTAATTACTTTTCAACTATGTACACACCCTTTGAATATTCGTGCCAAGGTGCTTTTCAGCAGAAGAACCGGCAGCGATCCAGGGCAATTACACAAACCTACGTATGCAAGAGATAATGCCAAGTATGTTTTAGCATGAAGGGTAATTGCAGGCTATTGCTTTATTCGCCAAAACAATCAGATAATGGCCTACTCCTAAGTGACACAGAGACTACAAAGACTGCGGGGAGACAGAAGAAAGAAATAAAATTAGGGTCAGAACAAGTACAAAATGTTCTCAAAATGAATTTATTAGCATTCTTTGTTAATCATACAGACAGAATCACAAAAACTAAAATATATGCAATAAGATTAATCACATCAGATCAGAATCCTACAATTCTACAGAGTAACTTCATTATAAGAATAAAATGCTGTAAATTAAAAAAAAGTAACGATACATATACTTTAACAACAAGAATCAATTGTAAACATATTGTGCATTTTGCATTGTTTGCATTATAAAATGTTTCAGTGAAGTTCAGTACATAGCAATGTACTCCTGCTTTTTTGGCAAGGTTAAATCTTTTTTCTATATCTTGTGGTAAAAACATCAGTTTAACAACTGTCTGCATCACTTATGAATGGATATGATTATTAAATGTAGATGGATATGAAAAACAAAGGCACAGTCCAGATAAAATGCATACTACTTGAGACTAAATTTAAGTTTTGTGTACATTAAGTCAAACAGAACAGTACACAATTAGTTTATATGCTATACTAGAAGTGATCTTTTTGTATACAAGTAGTCTATTTCAAATTTTTCAAGCTTATAAAATCACTCTCTCGATAACTGCTAATTCTACAGTGTTTTTACACTGCTAGTATACTTTAAGTTAGAGTACTTATAGTTTATTTATATATGGCTTTTCATTTTAGGTTTCAGAACAGTGTTTAAAATTATGAAGAAAACTAATAGGCTGCTCTGTAAAAAGAACAAGAAGCATAACTTCAGGCCAAAGTACACTTGCCATTAAAAAGTACAAGTACAAGTGCCTGCCAAACATAGATAACTATTGTCCTGAGAGGTAAATAAGCAGAATGAATATAGTCTTTGTATATTCACATTTGACTTGAGCATATATTTTTAACACGATTGTATGCCATATTTCACTTTGGCCTTCCTAGCCTGTATGTGCCTTTTCAGAAAGAAATTATTCATCTTAGTGCTGCTTGCTTATAAACATATTGCTTAAATAAATATGTTAGAGTTGAATAGCTAATGATTCATAAAAAATGTAATGTCAATTATTCATATTTATTGTTTCTTTACTGTATGTACTTTAGATAAAAGCCTTATATAACATTCCAACTGGAATGCTCTTGGGTTGGGTGTTGAAAAAAAAACAAGATATCAGCAGTTTCAAAATGACACCGTTTGAATCTATTGTTTATCTGAGATAAATATTTAATGAACTCAAATATAGGCTATCTTTTGTCGCACCTTGTATTTTTTTTACATTTCTATCACGCCTTCTCTGTTTTAAATGTACTCGTAGTTGGCTCCAGTGGTACTATTAAATAATATAAGTAGTACATTTTTTTACTCTTCCAAGTTCCCTTTAACTTTCCATGAGCACTTCACCTGTCTCCTTTATCTCTTGACTGCTCAAATGTGATGTTTTGAACTGGCTTAGCATAACATGCTGTTAGCAGTCGCTAACTTCTAACCCTCTTTTGCGCTGCAGTCCTAGTGAACTGGCCTGACTTGCCCTCAACATCTTCATGTCTCCCATTCTGTCCTAAACATGTGTCAAAGGCTCCGCTTCCACAGGGCTGTCCTCGAGATTTCCATATCGCAGAGTATTTTACATGTTCTGCTGCTCTAAGATGCACGAGGGTCATCTTTTTGTTCAAATGCTCGCACTCTTATCTCTCCGTCAGGTAACATCTTCATCTATAGCCAAGTTTGCTGGCTTTAGATGTATTTGCCATGGCTCTGGCTCGAGCCCTAACCAGGTTCCTGAAAAGTCAGAAGGATTTGTTGTCAGAAATGAGGAAACATTCCAAGCTCTGTCAAAGAATAAGGTGTGTATAAGCTTGAATGGGATGATTTGTGAAATGTGGCCTTACCCAAGGAAGGTTATGGCATCAGATCGAGCCCCAAAAGAAGAAGGTTTCCCTAAAATCTGAACTTCAGGACTGGCATTTCCACTGTTGAGAGCGATTGGGTGATCTATTTTGGGTTGTTCCAGTTTCTTATGTTCAGGCTGAGATGGGTGCACCAGTATGATGGCCGGGTTTTCAGAGCTTAGAGGAAAAAAAACAACAAAATATGTCAAAATAAATAATTTGGTTTGAAATAAATTGTAATGGAAGACAATACGTTTTTGGGAGTCACTTGTTTACAATTTCAAGTCAGAGTCAAGCTAAAAGCTATTATACAAGCCGCAAACTAAAAGCTAGTAGTTAGCCTCCTAATGACAGTGCGAATAAGCTGCTTTTAAGAAAAAAGGGGCACACTTTATTTTAAATGTACAATTAGCACCATTAACAAACAATTAATTAAGACTTTTAGTCCAATAAACTACTAATTAGCTGCTTATTAGTAGTTAGTAACGTAGTATTTGGGTTTAGGTATTAGAGATGTAAAATAATATCATACTTTATAAGTGCTATTAAACAGTTCATATCTTAATAACAGGCAGATAATACACCAGTAGTAAAAGATGTAAATCGTTACCTAAACTAAAGTGTTACCAGAAAAAGCTAACAAACATTAGCTTACTATAACAACATTTTCCTATGCTACGTTTAAGGCCAATACAAACCAAGGAAACTAAAACGACAACTCTAACGATATCAAAATTATTCAAATTCCACAAGAAAATGGATAACAACAGAACAATATTACTTTTTATTTACTTGTTTTTTTATTAAAGTGCCAGATGACAAAACTTCAGTGAATGTTTTTAATAAACAGAACAGTATTGTCTGTCAGTGTGGATGCTCTTTCAGTTATTTTTACAGTTGTTGTTCTTGGTGTACATGGGCTTTTACTACTTAAAAGTCTATATATGATCATTTACAAGCAAAATGAAATAAAAAATAGTGTATGCTGAATCAAAAAATGAAATGAAATATAGTATGCTGTAAGCAAACATCATAGCATTAACCACACTTAAGTATGGACGCCTAAAATGTGGTTATCCCCACTATAATTAGCTTTCTAAACCAGGTAAACAAGCAGCTAAAACAGCTAATTTTCCTCATCAATCAATAAGAAAGTAGTTTGCTTATCATTGGAAGATTAAATCGATCATCTATCTAGTTGTCATGACAACAGATTACAGCAAAACCATTTATAAAAGCACAACAGTGGTTAAAAGCTGATAATAGATTTTAATGACTGAGCATGTCATGATGACAAACTTTCTCTTTCTCTTGCGGGATCAAATAGCGGTCAAAGCATTTGCTAAAACTCTGACTCATTAGAAGAAACTCTCTTCACCTTAGTGACTGCATTTCGAAAGCATTGTCGTGCCATATTGATTCTACAACAGTGTTTGGTATCACCTCACACCCTAATAATAACTCCACACACCCTAAACAAGCACACCCTCATACAGTAGTAAAACAACACTAATGACTGTTACTGCTGCATTGGGACGCCACTAGTTTAAAAAGACAGATGGAGCTCACCTGTAGTGGCAGAAACTTTTGCACGTTCGATCCGCAGGGTTAGCACATGAACAGCGGCCTGTAGATCTCCTCCGACGAGACAATGGACTTCCCAATCCATACACAGTGGTCTTACTATGGAGGAGACACCCAGTCATTGATTAACTCATCAGAAAGGAATAAACCTCAACGGGACTTTGTACACTTTTAACGTTAAGTATTACAATCTGTGGCAAAAGCATTCAAGATAAACCGCCATAAAATGCACAATAACTCAAAAGTAAATCTTTTTGAAGTATGAAAGCACTTTTGTTTTCATATGTCCCTGATCTGAGCCTCTATTCTCTTTCATTGACTTAACTTTCACTTAGGGTTACTTGCGTATAGGGTTTACGCAGGTTAAACCATGCAAGGATGAATGCTCACCTTGGCGTGTTCACCCAGATGATGTCCAGATGGCAGAAATAGTGGCATTCGGAGTCCATCTGGTTGTTGCAGGAACAACGTTTGCTCCTGACCCTATGGTTTGCAGACGGGTCATTCAGGTCAGTCTGTGGCACTACAGGCAACCCCCATCCTGCAGACAAGAGATATATTACAGTTCCCGTAATCATTCTAGGCCAAAAAGCCCACACAGAGACTGTTTGACTGAGTCTTGGATAAATGATGAAGCTCATACTAAGTTATTATTACACTTTTATTGTTTTGATTTATTACTTCACCGTATCCCAGCTTGTCTCTCTATCTTCTTATGTAATAATGAACAAGGTCTCAGATGTTTGATCTTAATAAGTAGCGGGCTGCTTTAATGTTCAGGGTTATTCATAGACATCTGTGCTGAGCTGTCAGTTTTGGCTTTAATTGTTGACGCCGTTACAACTGCATTTCCTTTAGTGCATGGATATGTGATCACACATTTTTTTAGGGAGAAATTGTTATAATCGGTGTTTCAGAGCTGAATTCACTAAATGTTTGAGTTTAAATGTTTAGTACAGTCAAAATTATTCTTTTTCATCTTTAAGGAAATCATTAAATATTAGGAAATTTAGGAAATAAAATGTTTTTTTTACTGTTTTGCTTGAAAAGGAAAAATAGTATGTAAATACTATATTAACCCTTTAACTACCTCATAAAAAATGAACTCCTAATGTTGCTAGTTAACACTCTCAATGCATTTTTTCCCAACACATCCTGTAATTTTTAAAATATCAACCTCTGCCAAATTGTAAACCATTGCTTAAAACAGTGAAAGTACTGTCAACATTTTGGTAGAGCAGGCAGTTAAAGGGTTAAGGAAACCACAAATGCTTTTTTACTTTATATTTAAGCTTGAAAATGAAAAATTGTATATAAATAGTATATTAACCCTTTAACCATGCCCCACCAAGAAAAAAAATTAACTCCTTATGTCGGCAGTTAACACATTCAATGCACTTAACCCCAACATATCCCATACTTTCTAAAAGTATCAGCCTCTACTAAATGGTTGAAATGTTGGTTTATGATAAAAGTACCGGAATTAATACATATACTATGAAAAATCTGAAATTTGAAGTGTAAGACCAACATATTTAAATAAAAAAAAAATCAAAAAAGAACATTTTTAAATATTAAATCATCTTTATTTTTTTAAATACGCCATCAAATATTTCAGATTCTCATTTAACATGTTTTCTTGTTTTGTTTACCAAAATCAAAGTAAAAAAAAATCAAGTGTAGTAGTGCAACAGAATTATGTTTGATTTTTTTTCATTCATTCATTTCATTCTTTAAATGACTTTAACAGTCATTATCATTTAAAACAGTCCCAATATGGTTTGTAGAGCAGGCAGTTAAAGGGTTAAAATAGTTATAATTTATGACTATAAATTTGTACTACATACATACATACATACAAGTAAACACAACAACTATTTGCTAATTATTTATGAGCTGTTACAACTTTCAGTTAACTGTTTCACTATTACTAAAACTTATTACTTAACTATTTCAGTATTCTCTTAAACTTAAAAATGTACAAATTCAGTTAAGTAGTGCTCTTTACCCTTAAAAACAGAGTCAAACAAATTTAAGGTAAACATCAAAATTCCCAATAACTCAGTAAAACTTTGACACATTTTTTTTTAATCCTAAAAATACAACACCAAAGCATTTTACCTTCTAGGAGAGTTGTCCACATGGTACAAATGAAGATCAGAGTAGTTCTTGATTCCATGTTGCAAAAAAAGTCCAAGTCTAAGCTATTCCAGTGTCTGTGTCTCATCTGCAGGTGATTGTGTGAAACTGTCTTGTTCAGCCACACTTATAGCTCATGACTTGCACCACCCCTTGTTAGGGTGGCTCTCCTCTCATGGTTGGCAGTTACACAACTCTTGCCGTCTTCTAGTCTTGATGTATTTGCACCCTGCAACACTCAAATAATTTCTACTGCCAATGAGACTTTTTGGGAGGAAGAAACCAAAAAGAAAGCTGTAAAACAATAGAAATCAGGAGCAAGAAAAAAAACTAATCGCTTGGAATTAAACAATATAGATTTAAAGTGACTGGAAGATTTGAAAGGCCAGCAGGAAATGAGGTGTCATAGAGGATAACAGCAGATTTGCATAAATTGAAAGCGTCCTGTGGAAAGAGGGATGATTGTGATGGGTTGCTCCTGTTGGAGATTGTGGGATGAAGCTTCCTGTGCCCTCTGGTCACTATTTGTTTCTGATTACACAAATTAGTCACAGATAGCAAAGCATAATTCAGAAATGATTTAATTATTTTGGGTTGCCTCATGGATGGACCAGCATAAACCAATGCATTTCCTTACGCATTAATCATGACAGTACAAAACTATTCACTTAATTTATCTTGCAACATATATTAAGATATCTTTAATCAAGTCAGGAAGATTTGGTACAGATATCATTTAAGCATTTATTCACATAAGATTAATTGAAGGCTGTCTGTTCTTTAAATATTTATAATACTTGTAATAATCTTAAACTCCAATGATTTCTCATGACTATTATCACAGTTATTACTAGAACTATAAAATGATAATAAAAGTAAATGAATACATAATTGAGATAAAATGAACTAAACAGCTTAAAGTAATTTAATTACAGCTTTTTGTCAAGTAAATATCCCTTTTATTAATTTAGCTGAACTTAATTTGATGTACTAAAATGAATTCAAGAAACAGAGCTAACTGTTGATGGCATGCACACACACACACACGCGCACGCACGCGCACGCACGCGCACGCACACGCACACACACACACACACACACACACACACACACACACACACACACACAATTATTAAACTTTTAATCAAATTTTTATATTTATTAAAATCTGCAATGGTATCTAATAGAATTTAGAATTTATTAGGTAAATTAATATGTAGGTTATAGAAATTTTATCAAAGTTTGAGAAATGACGAGTTACACATTTAAAATCTAGTTTAATACATTTTATTCCACTGGAATTACTACTTGAAATTCTCGAATATATGTATAGTGACTCTTTATGTTGGCTAAAAAATAAAGCTTAAATACAATGAGTACCACTGCACTGTCAAAGAAATCTGCCTTACAGGAACTGTGAATGAGCAACGTTCATCAGTGCACGAGCAACGGTGGTTTCCGTGATGGTTTTCCGTGACCCGTGTGAAGATAAGACATGGGACAAAGCCTCGCAGGTATTGGCCCAAGTTTGCAAATGCAGATCCCTCGCGTGGGCCGTGCACACAGCGCCCATTGACTGCACATTTCCAGCACATGTGTGTACGGCCAGAGTCCCCAGCAGCCATTGTGGGTGATGCAAATGCAGCATAACAATCTCACCACAGACTTTGATTAGCGTGTTTTATCAAATGCATCATAAATCACAAATGACAGTTTGTTAAAGCACTTCTCGCACTCCTGCTGAGAAAAGTCCCTTGCGCTGATAGGAATATTAATATGGAAATCATATTGAATTACTAATCAGTGCTGGACATACAGATTGCACACATCAGCCCACTCGCAGATGGAAAGATCTCATGCAATGTATTTCACATCGCAAAGGACACAGAGGCTTTAAATCACTTTAATAACTGAAAGAACTACTAGTGGTAAGATATTTAGAAAAATGTTGCAAAGGGTAGCCAGTGACAACTCATTAGGGTTTGAAATAAGTGGATGATGAGTAAATGATGACAGAATTTGTATCTTTTGGACAGTGTGCTTTAAATCAATTTTAAAACTGACAATCCTAAAAATGGTAACACAGGGGCCGCGTCCAAAACCGCCTACTACTCAGTAGGTACTGTGTTTCAATTTAAACGTAATACTCAGCCGTTAGAAAAGGTCATTCTATACAGTATGAATGCGAAAAGTATAATGGAATTCGGACGTATTACATCTGCCATTTTGTCATGGTCATGTGACCTATCTGCGGGGCATCATGGGAGAGCGCAGCATGCATGGGATGCGCACTTCAGAATCTTGGTGGAAGTAGTAAGTCATCCGGGTATTTCTCGCATACTGATTATCGAATTCTATGAATTTGGACATGCTACTCGGCTCACATACTTATTTTAGCGTACTATATAGTATGGAAGTATGTAGTTTCGGATGCAGACAGGCTCTTTGGAAATGCGCAGTCTATATTTTTGCAACGTTTCTAGGTAGCATCAACGCTTCAGGCAGTATGACGCTTACAACTTTTGTTGCTTTTCACACTGATGATATTTTTAGGGACATCATATCAATAATAATAAAAAAAGATGATTTTTCTACAATTATTTGCATAACACCAAATAAATACCACAATAATTTAAGGCCTAAATTAAAGGTCATGTGAAGTGTTTTGAAATGTGAATTTGTGTTTTATTTGAAAACAAAGCCTGGTTTATACTTCTGCGTCAAGTGACCGGCGTGACCCACGGCGCATGCAACGCTTGTAGCTGTGCATTTTATACTTCTGCGCTCTGTCTCTGTTGGTCTGAATTAACACTTCCGAAACGCTAGTGGGCAGTAAATGTTCCTCTGTGTCGAGTTTCTTCTCTGCTGTTTTGCTTTTCCTGAACACTTCCTGGATGTACAAGTGGCTCAAACTCGCTCATTGTGAGGCAGGAACGTGCAACAACTTTAACTATGAGGTAAACACAAAACAAAACTTTCCATCACTCCACACTTGTAAACAAGCGCTCCATTGGGCTCGCGTCCAGCTCGCGCCATTCGCGCGGCTCTCGGTCCCGCCCAGACTCGTCAGCGCTACCAAGCCGACCAATCACAAAGCTTGCGCTACGCTTCGTTGCGACGTGTAGTTACAATTTTTGAGAGGTGCACGTCAGCGACGCCGACGGCCACGGCGAAAGGCTATGCGTCAGCGCCGTAGTTTACGCCGGCGTTTGACGCAGAAGTATAAATCAGCAAGGACATAGTGTAGCTAGTTTCTCCCCTTAAAAAAACAGCCAATAGGGTTTCATTTTTATCACAGCACTGTAATCTACATTGTAAAGAGTACAACGATGTAAAAACCTCTATAAAAAAGATTAATTAAAAGAAAAAAAAATGTATTGGCAGTGAGAGTGACATCAAGCACATTCAATAAAAAGCAAATGAGCAAATGTCATATACTATAGAGCATTTGATTGTTCAGATTTAATAAGAAATCTTAAAGAAGTATGAGATGATAAAGGGAATTGACAAAGCTTTCGATGTTAAAATCTAGTAAATACAAATGTTGGAACTGTTTTGAAGCACAGCTCTAGCATATATTTCCTTAAGAATAACATACTGAAATTCATTCATTTATTTTCTTTTCGGCTTAGTCCCTTTATTCATCAGGGGTCGCCACAGTGGAATGAACCGCCAACTTATCCAGCATATGTTTTACGCAGCAGATGCCCTTCCAGCTGCAACCCAATACTGGGAAACACCTATACAGTCTCATTCACACAAACTACAGACAATTTAACTTACCCAATTCACCTATAACTCATGTCTTTGGACTGGGGGAAACCGGAGCACCCGGAAGAAAACCCATACCAACACCGGGAGACTTCACACAGAAATGCCAACTGACCCAGCTGAGGCTAAAACCAGCCACGCTACCCACTGCACCATATACTGAATTAACAAGTAAAAAATTTATTTTAATTTTATAATGTCTGTGGTATATAATTGAAAACATTTGCCTCACCTATATTTATCTCCATAAGAACAAGTTTTCCAGTATGGTCAGTTTGCTTGGTTGTGATACAGAGCGCTTGAAAAGCTTGCTGAAAAAAAAAAAAGATTTAGGAAATGTAAAATTAAGGTAAAACGATGTGGCCACAGTGTACTTTTCTCCCATGTTTGATTTTGAAAACACTATTGGTTGGGTTTAGGAAAAAGTTTAGGTCAGTAGTTTTGCTAGGTAATCTGTACTATAAGTCCCGTTCTCTTGTGGCCGTGTATCGGAAACTGAACAAACGTAAGCTACACTGTTAATGATATTTGTAAATTAGACAGTGAAAAAAAAATGAAGTAAGTTAATGCCTACTAGCCTCTAACATTGTTCCAAATATCATCTTTTTTGTTTTACAAAAGAAACTTAAATAAGTGGAGGGTGATTAAATGATGATTTTTGATCAATTATGAACTACATTGTAAATAACGGATGCAAGTTTGCTAAAGCACTATAATTATTTCATTATTTTATGTTGGCTACTTTTATTTAAGGTATAATTTGCTCTATTAACAAAGGCTTCTAGCTCAAAAAAGTACCCATTGGCTGCTCATTAATGGTTATAAGGTGATAGTTAGGTGTTTATTATTTAGGATTAGGGATGTTGAATAAGATCATATGATATAGGTAATAATAAACTGCCAGTATCTCCATACAAAGCAGGTAAAAGCTATTAGTTAATAAGCCAAAGTGAGTAGCTAAATGCACATATATTTTATATAGCAGTGTGCTTTAAATCCCTTTAATAGCTGACATTCCTAAAAAAATGGTCTTGCAAACTTGGGTAACTTTCTTACATGCATAAATTTGATCTCTATTTTTTTTTCAGTTGGCTCCTGCATATATAAAGTCTCATGCTATTTATGAGCAAGAATTGAGCTTCAGCAGACATTTGGCAGAAAGTTTTCTTCAGAGCTCTGCCAAACGCTGTCTAGTGCAGATGGATGAAAGAATGTGTGACAGTGGAGGAAGTCATTGCAGAGTGATAGAATACATTCTTCTGCATTCCACAGACAGAGGAAATGTGCTCATCCCTTCAAAATCCTATCAATCGCTTTCCATTTTTTTCCTTCAGCCCGTGTTCTGCTCAAAAGAACTGCGATTAAAGACAGTTGTTACATTTTTAAACTTTTTTTTTTATTTATTTATTTTTTAGAAAAGCTGCAGCGAGAATATTGAGCACGAAATATGAATATTTTCTTAACTTTTTGCAGGTTTTTGGAACTCTAAATTTTGGTAAATCGGTTTAAGTAATTGCAGTATGTTTTGTTTTTTCCATTGGTAAAATATATTGAATTGTAATATTATCACAGCATTCATGTTTGCTATCTTCATGACTTCTAAAGCCCCTTGCATTGTTTTTCTTCTCATATTTAAAGAAATCCAATCACTTTAGTTACTTGCTGTAGCCATGTAATGAGCAATTACAATAGCCAGTTAGTAAAACTTTCCTTCATATTTGAAGAATACAGTACTGTTGAACCGTTTTGTATTGAGATTGATGACACCAACAGGAGCTTGCCTGACTATCAAGCCTAAAGGCTGATTTAAGCCTGTTTTTAATAGTGTTCTAAATAAAAGCAATGACAAGTGATAGACGGAATATTTTCCATAACAAGAGGAGTTTTTGTTCTAACTTATACCTCAAATTTCTGGTTTAGAAACAGCTTGCAGCTGAACAACAGAAAACTGACAAAGATCACCTCATGT